TTATCATTATTATGATGATGATGTTTACACAGTTGATCAGGATGGGAACGATCAAGGGTTAGGGAAAAGTGGGAGTAATCAGTATTTCCAATTTTTCAGTTCCTTCTTCCTGTATCTAGGGGGGAGGGAAAGATACAGGAGGAAGCTATGCCCAGTCTTCTAACTGCCCCAAGTACCCAGGGATGAGGAATGGCCACCTTACATCCACCCAGGGTCCCCAAGGTGGCACATGTTCCAAGGGTTCTGCCCAAGTGTTTTTGCTAGTTCTTTTTTTTTTTTTTTTTTAAGATTTATTTATTTTGATTGGAATGGCAGATATACAGAGAGGAGGAGAGTCTAACAGGAAGATCTTCTGTCCAGTGGCTCACTCCCCAAGTGGCCGCAATGGCTGAAGCTGAGCCAATCTGAAACCAGGAGCCAGGAGCTTCTTCTAGGTCTCTGACGCAAGTGCAGGGTCCCAAGGCATTGGGCTGTCCTCGACTGCTTTCCCAGGCCACAAGCATGGAGCTGGATGGGAAGTGGAGCTGCCAGGATTAGAACTGGCACCCATATGGGATCCCGGCATGTTCAAGCTGAGGACTTTAGCCACTAGGCCACTATGCTGGGCCCTATCTATTTATTATTTTTAATGTTGCTTATAAAGTTGAGAAGGATGTATGCCCTCGAAGCCCACTGATAAGGGTGGTGAGGGTTGAGGTATTAAGGAAAGGGGTGGGATAAATGTTTTCAAAATTTTGCTTTTACTCCTGTATCTGTGGAGAGAAAAAGGATGGCAAAGGGGAGCAGACTGCCCCTTGATGCCAAACTACATCAGCACCCAGGGATGGGGAGCCGTCATTTGACGGCTTAGAGACACCAATTTGGGGAATAGTGTTCTGAGGGTGTTATTTGAGTGGTTGTGATAGTGTTCTGAGACATTGTTGGCTTAGTTGCACCAGGGTTGAGAAAATCTTTCCAAGGTCTGTGGGTTGCCAGAGTCTGCCTTCATGCATCCACAGACCCACTTACTGCAAAGCTTGGTCAGGAGAGTAGTCCAACCTGTTCTGCTTTCCATCCTCTGACATAGCACTTGATGTCTTCTGCTGGTCTACATGAGCTGCTGTCATTCCCCCATTTGCATCTGGTTTTGCTGTCCACTGCACAGGCACCAGCATCTGAGAAGGCCCCGTCTGAATATGTGCACCCTAAGGTCAGAACACATATGCTGTGATTTTCCCTGTGGCTGGAGTTTGAGTCCTGTGGTCTTGGTGGGGAATCCCCCAAGAAATCTCACCTGGGATGACTTCAGATCTGACTCTTATGGGTGCCAGCTAGTGTGCATTCAGTTCAATGAGTTACCTGCATCAGCCTATGCACATACCAGTGGACACAGCCTGCCTGGTCAGTTCTGTCCCCAGCCACATTTCTCATATGAACTGGCACATGCTTGCTCAATCCAGCCTGCCACAGACTCAGCCCCTATGCACACCAGCAGAAATTGCAGCTTAGTTGAGATGACCCCCAATAATCCCCAACAGACCCACTCCAAGTCCCGGTTCCTGCACACGCCAGCATATACAGAAGTCTAGCCTGGCCTATCCCATATCCAATCTAGCTCTCATACACACTCATGGGTGCTGCGGCTTAGCTCGACCTGACCCATTCCTAGACCCAGCCCACACATATACTGATGGGGCTGTTGTCTTGTCCAGCCTGGTCCATCCTCAACCCTGGCTCTTATGCTCACCCGTGACCCAGTCCTGTCACTTGCCATTGGATGCTGTGACAAAGCCCAGCTGACCGCACTAATTCTGACTCTTGCATGTGCCAGCAAATGTGGTGACTTAACCTAGTCCTGTGGTCCCCCAAACCCAGTCCACATGCAGGCTGACAGGTGTTGCAGCTTGCCCATTCTGGCCCACCACCAGTTTCAGATCTCATACCCACCGGTGGGAGCAGTGGCCCTGTAGTGGAGTCCTTGAAGTTCCCTTACCAGGCTCACCTCCAGCCCTGGGTCTTGTGTGTGCTGGTAAGTTCTGTGGCCAAGTCTGGCATGGCCCTCTTTGTCTCAGCATTTGTTGGTGGGTGCTGCAGTCTGGCTCTGCTTAGCCTGCCCCCAATCTTGGCCCTCACGTGAACTAGTAAGTGCTGCAGCCCAACCCGGCCTGGCTAGCACCCTGTGTTGACTCAGTGGGTGTTGCGGATTGATCCAACCTGGTCTGCCTCCAGACTTGGCCAACGGATGTTGCAGCATGGCCTGGACTGCTACCCAATCTCAGCTTTTGCTGGTGGGTACTGTGGTCTAGCCTTATCTAACCTGCCCCCATTCTTGGCTCTCATGTGAACCACCTAATGAAGTAGTCTAGCCTGGCATGGCCATACCCTGTCCTGGCTCTTGTGTGTGCCAGTAGATTTTAAGACTTGACCTAGCCCATCCCCCAAGCCAGCCCACACACACACTTGCTGATAACACACATAACCCTGACTGGCCTGGCCTGGCCTATCCCAATACCAGCTCTTGTGTTCATCAGTGGGAGCTGTGGTTTGGTAGGAGAGTTCCCCAAGTGGGCCTAATCCCAGACCCAGATTTTACTCATGCCAGAGGGTACTATGGCCTTTACCCAGCATAGCCTGCCCCCGATATTAGCCTGTGCATGTGCTGGCGGGTGCTGCCATCTAGTTTGCACCTAACCCTGATTCTTGGGTATGTCCATGGGTGCTGTAGCCTGGACCAACCTGGCCTGCTCCTAACCCCAGTTCCCATGAGTGTTAGTGAGTTCCATGGTCATGCTTAGCTCGGCCTGTGACTATCCCCAGCTCTTGTGCAAACCAGTGGATACCTTAGTCCCATGCGGGTGAGCCCACATATCCCCTCTATAATCTACCCCCAGAACTGTTTCATTCGTGTGCCAGTTGTCATGGGCCAACCCTGCATGGCTCAGCCTCTGCCCCGACACTCCCTGGAAGGTACTGTGGTCCAACTCTGCCAAGCAGGTCTCCCAACCCTATCTTCCATGTGTGCTTGTGGATGGTGGGAAATGCCATCAAAACAGCCCAGGTCTCCCACATGGGCAGGTGAATTGGGCTGATCCAGACATGCCCTTTGATTCTCCCCTCTAAAGCACCAGGTCTCAGCTCTCTCATTTACCTGCGAGTGCAGTGTCCCTCCTCCTTGGAAGCCCTCAGAAGTCACTCCATACCTGTGAAGTGTTCCCTCTGTGGCCCCACTCCCGCACACCCCCAATTCCCCTCCCAGCCATGCCCACCCCTTCCTGCTGCTCCAGTGGCCTGGGCTACTGGCTTCCCTCTGAGCCCAAGAACAGCTCTCCTTCCACTGCTGGACGAATCTGACTCCAACGCTTGGAAAGTCACAAGGCTTGGGGAGGGCACCTTGCCAATGATCTCCCACAGTATTTCCTTGCGGCTTCCCCTGTGGACTCAGTGCACCTGCTGAGAGAAAACTGCCTGATACTCAGTGGTCACCTTAGTGAGCCAGGCCTGAGCACTCATGTGTTGCTTTTTCTGACCCAGGAGCGTGAAGTAGCAATTGCACAGACTTTGCCTTGGCCCAGGAAGAAGTCTAAGTCAACATTGCTGACCTTAACCTCCTGGGCAGCACAGTGGGCACCCCCCGACCCTGATGTGATTTCCTTAAAGACCCCGGGCAGAATGTTTTTCTCTTAGTACGAGCACGAGTCACTGTACTGCAGGGAGGAAGGTCAAGCTTCCCTGTGGCTCCCACACCAGAGGCACCCTCTTGTGCCTCTGGAAGAGAAGTGATGTTTACAGATCTGGGAACCACCAAGTGGGACAGGGCCTCCTCTAACACCAGTCCTGGTCACCCACCTTTGGGGTACTGCAGCCCCGAAATCACTAACCCCATTCTGGTTCTGGGGGCTGCCCAATCAGCAGGTGGATGGTCGCTCTGTTCAGACCCGTTCCCTCTCTTAGGCAGCATAGATCGTGCAGACACATACCTGGGTTCACCAAGATAAACTTGGTGACCAGAGGGGCTTGGGGAGGGGCAGTGTGGGTATCGTCCAGACTTCCTGTCCAGGTTGCTAGGTGTGACTAGACAGGGCAGTGAACAGAGTGCCCAGGAGCTAAGGTGGTGTGCCCAGCTGAGTAATGGCCTCTCAAAGACCTGTCTCCATCCTCATCCCCAGCACTGTAACTTTCAGTGGAAAAAGGAAAAGTTATCTCTGATGGTTCTGTCTCAGCCAGTTTTCCCCCCTTCGTTTCCCCATGTGAGCAGGACAGTGGTGGCCACTCAGCAGGGGTAAGTATGTGCTCAGCACACACAGGAGGCTGGCACTTTCCCCTTAGGACTGTGAACTCCAACCCCAGGGTCTCTAGAGGTCCTGAGACCCATCTCAGCAGCAGCTCTAGGCTGGGGGAATTCCCAGGGAGACTTGTACCTGGGCCCAGCCCTGGGCTCCCCACATACTTTCTCCACTTTCTTCTACCCCCTGCCCTGTCTCCCTCTTGGCCATAGCTGCCCCTAGATCGGCCCTAGGTCCTACCCCAGGGTGGATGTGCAGAGGAAAGTGGTCGTGGCAACAGCACACCACATGCCGGCAACAATCAATCTAATGCCAAGCAAGGCACTGACCATGAACGCAAGCCCAGGTGACCCCTGTCCCTTCAGGAGCCTGGGCCCCAGCTACGCTTTGTCACCACACTACAGACCGGCTACAGTCACAGGGATCCGCTGCTGGCATTTATTCTCCACACACTGCAGGTTAGGGTTCTGAGTTGTCACCAACAGCATCCCCTCCTGCCCTGCCCTGGTATGATTTCTCGTGAATGACAGTGATGGAGAACTGTGTGGGATCCAGACCCGGGCCTGTTCAGTGCTGGCTGGGAACACTCAAGGTGGGCACCCAGGATGCTGGGCAAGACTTAGCTTCCTTATGCTCCCACGTGGTCGACGGGGACTCAGCATCCGGGTGGTCACATAGAGGAAGCCTGCCAAGGGACTAGGCAGAGGCAGGAGGCCTTTGATGACCCCAGGACTGGCATCAAATACCCTTTATGTAACAGACTACGGAATTCATGATTTTATGGGAACATGGGAAAGAGAACATCTTCTTGTCAAATAGAATGACAGATCCATGAAAGCCGTCCTCCACATTGTACCACGTGACAGGGACCCCCTGGTCCTCCAGGCGCTTCTTATAGAGCAAGGCATCATCGCGGAGGGTGTCATTCTCACAGCTCACAAGCAAGGCTTCTGGAAGCTGAGCAATGATCTCATCTGCTGCCAGGATGGGGGAATTTTCTGCCTGTAGCAGGTGCTTCATCTCCAGATAGGCAGCCTCGTTAAAAGGGCCAGGAAAACTGGGTTGGTGGTCTTTGCTCTTGAATTCCTTGGGGATATTGTCTGAGCTCAGCCACTTCCGGTACTTGCTCCAAACATCCGGAGGTATAAAAGCACCAGTCAAGAGGGCATGGTGCTAGGAGGCATCAATGGCCATGTACCGACACACAACAGTCATCAGGAACTTGAGCGTAAGGAATGGGATTCTTTGATTCTTCTGCATAGATGGCAACTGCAGGTTGATATGCTGAAGGCTTGGATAAATCCGGACCTGAGCTCGGATCCAAGGAAGGTCTGAGCGCCCCACCAGGCTCTGGGTGACCAGGGCCACAACCCATCCCCCAATGCTCTCTCCACAGACCACCACTCGGGAGGGGTCCACCCCATAGGTCTTCAGAGCCTTCAGGAAGTGGATGGAGGCATTCAGACAGTCTTGCGTGATGACGGGGCTGTGATGGTCAGGGAGCTTGCAGTACCTGGGCAGGGGACAAGGAACAAAAGCCACCCATGTGGACAGGTGTCACAGTGGTCCGTGGGAGCTGTGCCTCCAGTCCCCTGTAGGAGACTGCTATCTGACCACATGCTCAGCATCACTCTGCAGAGACTGGTGTTATCCCCTGTCTCCCCTCCTCAAGCAGGTGAAGATCTTGCCCAGAGTCAGCCAGCCTGGGATGCTTCGCTTCAAAGCTCTTCTCTGCTTCTCGCATGTGCAGACTAGGTAACTGGAAAACCATTGGCCTTGAAAGTAGAAGATGAGTGCGGATGCTGCTGGTTCCATCACCTGTCAGCCGAGAAGGCTTAGAGGCACCAAGACTAAACTGGAGGTGAAGCTCCTTTTAGCCAAGACAGCATTTTAATATACGATCTAATCACAGCTGATTCTTGCCTAGCACGTAAGTGGCTATGCTTTCTCTTGGGTCAGGAGTTTGGGAAGAGAAGGCATAGAAGTGCTCAGAGGATGAAGGGGGTAAAAAAAAAAGGGGGGGGGATGAGGCAGGAGGGGATGGTGAGAAGCATCCTGAGCCTTGGTCCCCTAGGAGGTTTCCTCCATGGAACCCAGGGCCAGGAGTTCTTCTGGAACAGGAACAGCCCAGCTAAAGCAAGTATGTATTACAATTGAAATCCCAGAATAGTCGACTAAGGTGTTGGATTAGAGAGCCAATTTAAACTGTGAATTATTTTTTAAAGATTTATTTATTTTCATTGGAAAGGCAGTTTACAGAGAGAAGGAGAGACAGAGTAAAATTCTCCATCCTCTGGCTCACTCCCCAAGTGGCTGCAATGGATAGAGTTAAGCTGATCTGAAGCCAAGAGCCAGGATCTTCTTCTGTTCCAAGGCTTTGGACCATGCTCTATTGCTTTCTAGGCCACAAGCAGGGAGCTGGATGGGAAGAGGAGCAGCTGGGATTAGAACCAGTACCCACATGGGATTCTGGTGCACAAGGCAAAGACTTTAGCCTCTAAGCTACCACACCAAGCCCACTGTAAACTGTTTTGAATTTCTAATTGAGGCTGTCCTTATAATGTTTTGTCTTTACAACCTATAATTTAGAAACATCAAGAAAAGGATACCCTGAGGTCAATGTGGTGGTACATGCTAATCCTCTACCTGCTGGCATTCCACATGGATGCCAGTTCAAGTCCTGGCTGCTCTGCTTCTAACCCAATTCCCTACTGATGGCCAGGGAAAGCAGTGGAAGATGGTACAAGGCCTTGGGCCCCTGTACCTACGTGGTAGACCTGGAAGAAGCTCCTGGATCCTGACTTAGGACCGGTCCCCCTCTGGCCATTGTGACCATTAGGGCAGTGACCCAGTGGATGAATTCTCTCTTCTTCCTCTCTCTCTCATCTTGTTTTCTCTGACTTTCAAGTAAAATAAATAAGTATTTTTAAAAAGGAACAAAAAGAAAAAAGTATCTTAACTATCAGGTAAAGTTGGGAAGAAACTCATAATGAAAAACATCAGCTGATGCTGTGACCTCATGCTTTCTCAAGGTGACTTTTTTTCTTCTATTAAAATGATGCTGAGTCTTATTCAAGAGAATCAATGAGTGCAGTTGTCCTCTATTTCCCTGAGATATCTATATCTATATGAATATCTACATCTGTATCTATATCTACATCTATATCTATAGAGATAGCCAGGCCCATCCTTCTTCTTTCTTACCTCCACAGCCTCCTCTAAGGTACCACAAGGAGTCCTGGACATTGAAAGGCCAGTTTTTACATCACGGCCTTTCTGTTGGCTCTCAGCTCTGAATTCTTCCTAAGTGGCTCCCCTGGCTTCTCCTCCTCCCGTACAGATGCGAGGAGCACTGAGAATCTGCAGCAAGAACAGGGTCCTCATCACATCCACACGCAGGTGCCCTGTTCAAGGCTTCCAGAAGGATGAGAAGCCGCTGGGTGTTGGGACGGCCCCAGCCTCTGAGGACTGTCACAACAGCACCACGGAGTAGACGCCACTGAGACCAAAAGTCACCTTCTCCACAAGCCTGGGGAGGGGTTGCCCCTTCCATCCTGCTGAGGACTCAGGGCACACCTGCTCCAGTGCCTCCTCCCCTTACCTCAGGGTCCTTCAGGGGTCCCTCCACCCTGACACTGCCCACGGTGGTCCTCTGGCAGCACTAAGCCCCTCTCTCTGTCTGTCCCTCCACTGCCACTGGCATAACCACACTGGCCCCAGGCCACATCCTCCCAGTCTCTGCCACAGAGATGCCTGAGACAGCTCCCACAAGTGTCACTGCAGGTGCTTGCCACAGCTTTACCTCTGCCTCTTCTGGGGCCTTCCTAAGGTCACCAATGTTGGAGCCTGTGTTGTGTCACAGGAGGTTCAGCTGCTGCTTGTGATTCTGGCATCCAATATTAAAGCACTGGTTCAAGTCCCAGCCCTTCCTCTTTGCAATCTAGCTGCTAATGTACCAGGAAAGGCGGTAGCAGATGTTCTGAGGGCTTGGGTCCCTGCCAGCTGCATGGGAGACCAGGAGGGAGGTGCTTGCTCCTGGCTCAGACCTGCCTATTGAGCCATTTGAGCAGTGAACCAGAGGATGCACGGTTGCTCTCTCAACCATTCCTTCTCTGTTGTTTATCCTTTCAAATAAATGAATACATATTTTTTATTTTTAAAAAATTGCAAAGACCTCTAGAGAGGAGGTTCTAATTGTCCAGATTTCCAACACAATGGTCCACCTGTTGGGAGGTGTGTCTCTGAGTACCAGAAAGACGCTCTCTTCCCCAGTCTCATCAGAGAAGACCAGAGAGCCAGGGCCTTGCTGTAAGACACCTAGCTCTTGTGCCCACCTAGCCTTGTCAGCCATGTTTTGAGGGGTCGAAGTCGAGGGAGACCTTACAAGGGCATTTTCCACGTGTCACTGCTCTCTGTAACCTGTTATTCCTGACCTGTGAGCTCTTGGTCCCACAAGCATCTTGTACTGCCTAAACCCCACCCCTCCATCCACCCCAGGGCGCTTCTCTCCTTTTATTTTCTGAGGATCCAAGTTGTGTCTGGAGTATAGAGGGTTAAGTTCCCTCTTCCCTCACCGGCCATGTGGTCTGAGGCTTGATGACTCTGTTTTCAATTTGTCTTCCTGTTAATGTGCCTGGGAAAACAGCAAAGCTGGCCCATCCTTGTACCCCTACTATGTAAGTAGGAGTCCTAAGTGGAGTGCCAGGTTTCCAACTTTATCTTGCCCTGCACCTGGCACTTACAGTGCTTTGAAGTCCTTAGAAAAGGAAGAGAGTGGCCCTGGGATGGTTTTCACATTGTTGTCGTCGTTTGCTGTTGTTGTTAAAGATTTGTTTTGTTTATTTGAAAGATGGGGTGATACAGAGAGAAAGAGTTTCCATCCACTGGTTGCAAAGATGGGGCTGGGTCGGTTCTGAATGGCCATCCGTGTCATCTGCATGAGTGGCAGGGTCTCAAAGGTATAGGCTAACTTCTGTTGTTTTGTCAGGTGCATTAGTAAGGAGTTGGGTTGGAAGCAGAGCAGCTAAGACTTGAACCAGCACTCCAGTTTGGGATCCTGGAGTAGCAGGTGGTGGCTTAACCCACTGAGCCACAACACTAGCCTTTCTTGTATCCATTTACATTCATAGAAATATCAGGCTTGTATAACTTTTGGAAATGTTGGTGTCATTTTATATGACTGGCTTTCTCAGTTTGTAATGGGCCTCCCAGTCCATTTAATTAAATACCTGTGACATCCCATGGGAGCTTAGCGGCTAAGTGATCTAATATTCACAATGGTACCGCCTTTCATACCCTTCCTGCTCTCGGGCATTCAGGCTGGTACCAGCTCTTGCTATTTATTCTGAGTTGAGCTGCACCTGGCTGTGAGGACATGGTGGAGGTGCCACTTGGGGCAGAGGACCCTGCTCTGTTCTGGAGTCGCCCAGGACCTCCCTTGCCCTCCTCACACTTATAGGACACACCCAGCAGTCTCCAGCCACTTGCCCCACAGACAGCAGCACAGAGTCTGTCTCCCGGGCCAGAAAACTGCACAGATCTTGGCAGCAATCTGCAAGGCAAGACATTGCCCTCTGAGTGGAGCCCGGCATCGTCACTGCACCCGCAGAGAGCCAGGTGACAAAGGGCGTGTGTGTGACATCTGCTCTTTGTTCCTGGGTTTAGATCCTCTGAAGAGACTCTACTGGGACAAAGCCCCACAAGGCGGGCAGGCAGGCAGGTGCAGCCGACATCGGCCCCCTGGCCCTGGATGTCAAGTTTCAGGGTAATGTGGGCCCTAGCTTCTGCAGCATTTGCTTCCTCTGTGGGGGTAGCTGAGGGCCAAGGAGTTGGATAAAGCCACAACTGGACACTTGGGGCCTGCAAATAACTTTGTGTAGGTTTATTTATGGTATCTCGTAGGGGCCTGGGACTCCTGATGTGGAAGTCTAGTCCCACGAGTGCACAGGCTGGACCCAGCACGAGGCACAGAATCTGTAGATCACTTCCCATTTGGCTGCTCTCAGCTATGGCTGCTTTTAGAGGCCCTCAGGCATGTCCATGCATCCCCATGGCCAAGGTGAACCATACAAAGCGGGTAGAGTCTCAGAGGTGGGGTGTGGGGTTCAGGGTTCAGGAGCTGGCTGAGTTGGTGCAGAGCTCACCTGTGCAGGACCAGGGAGGTAAGAACCAGCAGAAAGGTGCCACAGGCTGAGGGCACTCTGCAGACGCTAGGCACCCACTTGTGTCTTTATCCCCTCCCAGGGACACTGAGCCCTGTCTGCACACGGGAACCAGCTGGTGGCTGCTGCACAGCACTGATGCCTGGGCCCTGCCAGAGGGGACTTAGAGCTGCCATAGGGCCTGGCTGTGCCTGAGACTTAGTATTCAAGGGAGACCGATGATGAGCAAGGAAGAACAGGAAGAAGCAAAACAAGTTCAGGTGGGAAACATGCCCGGGAGAAGATGACCAGGGACCACGCGGGGTGGAGACTGCAGAGTGGGCAGGGAGGGGTCTGAAGGGAAGATGCTGGCGAGGAAGGAGGCTGCTCAGGGGAGGCACCGCTGTGAGTGGGAAAGAAAGAGAGGAATCCCCGCCAAGGCAGCCTGTCCCGCCTGGGTCCTCCTGCTGTGAGTGTAGACAATGCAGGCTGCATGGCCATCTGTAGACTCGTGCCCAGAGCCCAGTGCTGGGCATCCGCATGTGATGGTGGCTCCAAGGGATTCCAGCTCTCGAGGAAGATGCTGGCAACACTGGGCATGGAGACAAGCCCCTTCCTTTCTGTGGCCCCAGGGAGTCCCTTACCAAGGCTCCCGAAAATGGTGGCCCCTCCATGGTAGAAGATGACGCCTCGCCCGGGGCTGACGAGGCCTTGGGCTGGAAGAGCCGCACGGGGATGGAGCCGAAGCGCAGGTTGGTCACCTTCACCTTGGGGTCATTACTTATCGGATGTAGGTCGTGTAAAAATTGGACACATTTGGGCATGGAGCAAATTCTGAGCTTTTCAAGAATATTCACTGCAGGAAGGTGGAGAGGGAGAGAGAGAGAGAGAGAGAGCATTGCTCAACAATTCAACACCTCACCCAGTGGGTGCAACCCCCAACAGGTAATTCAGGTATCATTTGGAATTGGTTTTTCCTTGGGCAGGAGGTCACCGGAAGCCACTCAGGCAGGGTGAGAGAGAGGGTTATACAGAACGGAGGGCGGGGAACAAGCATCCACCTCCAGCTCCACACAGAACACCCCTGGCCCCGGGCAGCAGGTCCCGGGCAGGCTGCTCCTCACCTCTGACCAAGTAGGACTCTGTTGTCTAAGGACTTCTGTATGCAGATGTTGTCTCGTCCACTTACACAACAGACACCATCTCTACTCCTAGGCCCAGGGCCGCCTCGGGACTTGCCTGAACCCCTCCTCCACACAGCATCCCCAGCAGAGCCGGGCTAGGGCAGCAGAACACCTGGTACAGGAGCCGCCCCCACCCACGCCCTGTCTAGCACAACCTCTGTGCTGGACAGACTCGGGTCAGCCAGGACACACTTTGTCTCCCTTCAGCTGTGTGGCGTGGGACTCAGGAAAGGCACCCTAGGGCCTTCCGGGTGGATTAAGGAATTAAAGCTCATTGCAAAACCATCACAGAGCACACTCCACAAGGCCAGCTGCCCTGGCCATAGGCTCTTCTGCATGTGTGGGCACAAATTCCACACTGTCCACTGGGCCGTGTGGCCCTGCAGGGGATGGACACTCAGGGCCACCTGTGGTGCTGGTGCCTTCCATTCCTGAAGATATACAAGGTGGGGCTGACACCCAGCACCTCACCCCCCCACCTACAACAACAACAAAAAGTAGTCACTCAGCTCCTTCCGTGTGACTGGGGCTGAGTGTGAGAACATGACGTCTAGAGAGAATGAAAATCTTGCTCAGTGTCCCCTAAGGAGACGGAAGTAGCCAAACTGAGGACAAGTAGACACGACGGCACCTCTGACCCCAGCACTCGGCGTGACTTCACGAGGAACCAGTCTAGGGACTCCCCTGACCACATGAATCCCACTTTCTTTCAGAGGGGTGTAAGGAGGCACCCACCAGGAACTGGTGCTGTTCATAGAGCAATGCACTGGGTGTAATGCCAATATCCCATACAGGTACCAGACTGGGTCCTGGCTGCTCCGCTTCCAACCCAGCTCCTTACCAATGTGCTTCAGAAAGCAGTGCAAGATGGCCCAAGTGTTCGAGCCCCACACCAAGAGGGATGACCCAGAAGAAGCTCGGGGCTCCTGGCTTTGGATCGGCCCAGGTCTGGCCATTGCGATCATTTGGGGAGTGAACTAAAGAATAGAAGATCTTTGTCTTTCCATAATATGATCTACCTTTCCAATAAAAATAAATGAATCTTTAAAAAAAAAGATATGCAAGCTCTCAGGCCATCCTTCTTTTTTTGGGGGGTGGGAGTGGGGCAGTGGGTTCATGGTTCACGTCTTTCTAGAAAGTCCCTTGACACGTGCGAATACTCAGATACCTACAGCCTGTGTGATTGTCCTGTACTGCTCTGCCTTTAGATGGGTTCAGTTTTGGGGGCTCCAGGCTGGGAGGTGGAGGTGTTTGTTTTGCCCTGGCTGTAAAAGTTGAGCTCTTCCTTTGCACAGGAGGCCTTGAATGGCTGTGCTTTGGCTCATAGCCACAGGTCCTGAGTTGGATTGGGATCCCGCAGGCTCTGCGCCAGGACAGCTGCTGGTACACAGTCGCCATCAGAAGAGCTCCTTCCTGAGCCACGAGTAGCAAGCAGTGACTTTAACCAGAGCTGCACCGACGGCTGTAGGCACCTGCCCTCCCCCAGGGTCTCCATGTCCCACCCCATCCTTGGCGTGTAAGCAGGACACACTCCTGCATCTCTTGGCCCCCATCTCTGCGGATTTCTCACTCTTGTTTATACCCTGAGTGGCCAAGTCCATTTCAAGACATTGAGAATTCCTTGGGGTTGTGTCTACACTGGCCGCTGTCGGCATCCTCACAAGCCACGCAATCCAGCCCATAGTATTGGATGAGTAATCATGGGCTCATTCTGTTATCCCTGGACAGCCCTTTGCAAGGTTCCCCCTCTCGCCCACTCTAACTAGAGGATCTCGCCCCTTACAGCAGGTCATGGCAGGAACAGATAAAATTTTTACCCATGTGAGTACGAGCTGGAACCCGTAGTAGAGAAACCAGAACTTCATCGGGTGGGTGATGGAAGGAGGTACTTCGGTGGTGAGGCAGTGCTCACAGAGCACCTAGGCACCAACCCCCAGGCTCGTGAGGCACACTGCAGAGAGGAGGGCTTTCAGCAGGGTGAGCATGGCGCTCTGTCCCTCCGTGGTCTGGAGCCCGATCTGCTGCCTGGGCTCTCCGCTGTAGACTCAGGCTCTGTTGAATGGCCAGGGTCCTCCAAGGTCTCTCTCTCTCTCTCTCTCAGGCAGAAGCGTTGGTAGGTTAGAAGCAGCACTCTGCAGAGTCACTGTGCTACTTGGTTCCCAGGGAGGGCTGGACTTCATCACCCCACTCATTGTTCACCACCCTGAGAAACGGCAAGAGGTGCTGGGAGGGGGCCAAACCCCGGCAGGCTCCTGAGAGATTGAGAAAACGTGCAGACTCCAGGCAGCGCCGCGAGGCTTTCCCCTGTGGTTGTAAAGTTTTAGAGAGGCAGCCCCTATGCCAAGATTAGCTTGGCTGAAGGAGAGTTAATCAATACCCAGTCCTAGGCCAGATCCAGCTGAGTGTCCCAGCCTGCTCTCTGCATCCTGAAACCCAAGGCTGACAGCAGGGGCTGGCTTGCCAAAGGTTCTGCTCTACCCGTGTCCCAGAAGCCACGGACACTCTCTCCCACGGGTGCACCTCACACAGGAAAGCCCAGTCCCATACCCCCCACCCCGCCCTTCCCTGGCTTCTCTCCAGGCCTCTCTCTGCCTGTCTGAAGGAGCCCAGGACAAGTAGGTGCATCTCCGCCTGTTCCCCAGCACCCCCTGTTCCCCAGCATCCCCTGCCCATGCCTCAGGGCACAACAGTGCCTGACAGGTCCTCTGTCACCAACAGGAGAGTCCCAGGGCAGGGTCCCTTCCTTTGCCTCCTGACCAGCACTGGGCATCTCAGGTGGCCCTGCCACAAGTGGCTTATCTCTTGTTAGTCTGGAATGACTCTGGCCTAACAGAGCCTTCATTTTTTCTTAATTTCTGAGATTTCATAACTCTGTCCAGGATTTATCTCTGACCTGGGGCTCTTGCCTTGCAGTCTCAGAGGAGGAAGAAGGCAGAATGAGGACCACTGTGTCACAAGTGTCTTCACTTGGGACGCATCAGTGAGCTGACTCTGCGTCATGCACCTTGCAAGCAGCACAGGGACAAGGAATGGACAAGGAGGCAAAGGGCCCACTTACCCAGGGCTGGGAGGGTGGTGGGACCAGTGCTGTGGTATAGTAGACAAAGCCTCTGTCTGCGGTGCCAGCATACCATATGGGTACTGATTCAAGTCCTGACTGCCCCATTCCCCAACCAACTCCTTGCTTGTGGCCTGGGAAAGCAGTTGAGGATAGCCTAAAACCTTGGGACTCTGCACCCGCGTGGGAGACCTGGAGGAGGTTCCTGGCTCTTGGCTTTGGATTGGCTTAACTCAGCCATTGCGGCCACTTGGGTGCCACTCAGATGGAAGTGCCAGAGACCAGCTCCGGCTGACTGAGAGCTTGCAAAGGATGCATGAATCGGTGAGATGATAGGAAGAAGAGATAAGACACGGACCACTATGACATGATGCTCATAATGGACAACTCAGAAAAGTTGCCTTCTTTATTTATACACAAATCATCACAAGCTTTTGCACAATATCCAATTGTTTCATTTTTACTTCATGGTTAAGAGAATACAAAAAACAATCCTAAGGAAAATATTTTCAACAAACCATTACTCATTGAACCCTGCAGTCACCTGGCGGAAGCCAGGAACTCCACAGTTGGCAGCGCATGCAGTTACATAGTGACAAGTAGTTTACTTATACTCAAAATCAATTTTTACTAAACACGAACTAACTAATATTGTTTGAAATATTAAGAGTACAGAATTAAAAGATCATAAATGAAAGGATTTTATAAAAGCATATAACATATGTTCTTTGCTAAATCTTATAATCAAATCATGCATTAATTACCATCACCTTCACCTAGTACTGATCCAATTGTTTTTGTTCTTTTGTTAAAGGGCAGTGAAAGGGATAAAGGCAATTCAGCCAATCTACCAAACAGAGGGCTTTTATAAGAAACTTTCTTTTATCTTTATAAACTGCTTTCTTTCCCTAAATATAAGCCAATATAAGATAGAGATTTTAAACCATTTTGAGGGGGTTCACATCTATTTCCTTATAAAAGATGCCCCATATACTTTTGCTTTCTGTGGTAAGAAACTAAAATGTGTTATATCATGTGTTGTAACAGTTCGAGGTGCATGGTAAACAAACTCTTTGTACCTCCATAATTGCCATCTGTTCCAAGATATTATCAAGCCATTTCTTAAGGAAAGCATCAATTATATTAGGGCAAACTTCAGGACAAAAGTGGGCACATAACAGGATGTTTGGAAACATAGTTGGCTCAATTGTACTATTGTATACTTTTAGCTGTGTGTCATAGCCTTACGTTACTAAAGGTGTTTTTATCATGACATGATTGATCAATTTGAGGTGTCATATCAGTTACAGGAATCACTTCACATTAGCAGAAAAGACAACAACGCCACCCTCAGGAGAATTCTATGAAACATCAGAGAGGTGATTGAGTTCCATACAATGGGTGAGGCAGCAATGAGGTGACCAGAGACATTCTGCGGGCCTTGCCATGCAGTCGGAAACTCCTCATAGCCTTGCTAACCAAGGAGCGGTGCTCATCACACACCCATGCCATCTGACCCAACTGCACGGCTCCCCACATGGAAGATCTTCCTCTCTGTCTCTCCTTCTCTCTGTGTATCTGCCTTTCCAATAAAAATAAATAGATCTTTTAAAAAAAGAAATAACTAACCCTCTCACTGTAACCACCTTTGAAGGACCAGCCCTTCACTGACCTAAGGACCACCTGTATGCCTGCATCCATGATCAGATTAAGTTCCTACTTTCTTAGTGCCACTAACATAGGATTTTTGCACTAATCATGTGAGTTTGGGATTCAGATAATACCCACTCCCGAGTGTTCCGCTGTTGACCCCAAAATCTCATGTCCTTCCCTCCTACCACATGCACTTCTCCCATCCTTGAGAATTCTCAAGTCTTAACTCAGTGTGGCATCAATTCACATGTCTGAAATTCAAAGTCTTACATGAGACTTGGGGCAGAACCCCTGTGCAATCAAATATGTTACAGACTTCCAGACACAGCAGCCAGACAGGGTCAGGGTTTACATTCTTATTTCAAAAAGGGATGGGGGACAAATGCAAAGAGGCAGATCAAGACACAAATCCAGTAGGGCAAGCACCACTTCCCACAGCTCTGTGTGTCACTTCCTGTTCTGCCATGGCCTCGGGCAGTCCCATTGCTCCGGCGTTGCCAGTCCCAGCTCAGGTCTTGAGCCTCTGCAGCGCCACAGAGTGGTATGGTCCTGCTGAGGCCTGTGGGCTGTGGCTCTGCCTTGCCCTAGTGGGGCTCTTGGCAGCTCTTTGTGAGAGTGCCCAGGTTCTGGGGGACCCAGTGCCTCCATGGGCTGGTGGGTCTCTCTGGGTCATCTCTGGCATTCTACGGCTTTGCGCTGTGCACTGCTGGCAGTCTCCCTGTGTCATTTCCCAGGTCCCCATTGAGGTTTTGTTCCCTCTGCTGCACTTAGGATCCTTGTGACTCCAGACTTGTGGCTCAACTCTGACCTTTCAGGCTTTCTTTCTAAATCCTGGTGGAAGCCACCATGACCCCCACGGCTCTTGCATTCTGCATGCCTGAGAATCCAGCATGGGTACCTTCTGCTGTACTGCTAGCTCAAGCACCTGCAGCTGGGGTGTCATGGTTGCAGCCCCAGCATGCTTTGCTGTTGGGATGCAGGGAGATGAATTTCCAGGTGGGTTCAGGCAAGTGAATTGAGTGTGCCCAGCGATGTCATGGAGTGCCTCTGCCCCCTTCTGGGCCTGGGGCATCTCTGCCTTGATTGGGTGTCTCTCTCCCATTGTTTTTCATGTTAGCTTTACCCACCCTATATAGATTCACTGCCCTTCCCCCCAACCTCCCTCCTTTTCTTTCTTCCTACCTTCCTTCCATCTGATTTATTTATTTCTACTAAAGGGAGATTTATTAAAAAAAAAAAAAAAAAACAAAGAAGTCTTCCATTCAGTGTTTCACTCCCCAGATCACTGCAGGGGCCAGAGCTGAGCTGATCTGAAACTAGGAGCCAAGAGCTTTTTGTGGGTCTCCTACATGGATGTAGCGGCCCAAGGGCCTGGGCCATCCTCTGCTGCTTACCCAGGCCATAAGCAGAGAGCTGGGTGGGAAGTGGAGCAGACAGAACATGAATTGGCACCCATGTAGGATGGCAATACCACAGACTGAGGATTAACTTGCTACACCACTGCCTTGCCCCATGCACTGGTTTCTTTTGCTAGGATTTTCTCATTTCACACTGCCATGCTGAGCATGTCTTGTCTCCTTTGCTGGCAAAGCTATGAATTATCTGAATTTTTTTCTGCTCTGCTCTTTCATTGGCTTACTCCCAATTTTCACCATCAAATTGGTAAAATATGGACAATCACACCCACATTACACTCTGAATTATGCCTGGCTGACTTAGCTCTTCCACCAAATAAGCTAGGACATCGCTTTTAAGGTCAGTCCCCTGACAAGTAGCAGGCCATGGGCACAGTAGCACCAGGTTTAGCGCCATGGTGTAGGTGGGTGACTTTGTAATGCCACAGGAACCATGGCTTGCACCTGCAGGCTTTCAGCCCATCAGGCATTGCTCACACTGATGGCAGCATCCTCAGCCGTCACGCTCCACCCTCTGCTCATGCAGCCCAGCCTTCTCCACCTGTAACTGCAGACGTTGGCCACGTTCCCCAGCCCACCAACTCCAAACCTTCCTACCACCTGCAGGTCTATTTACAGGAAATTCGTGCTCCTTGTTACCAATTTTCTGTGTTGGTCGAGTTTCCACACTATAATTAAATGCCTGAAGCAAGCTATTTGTGCTGGCAAGAGGTTTATCCTGGGATGTGACTTCGGAGTTCACATTCCCACAAGTTTGGTGCCTTGTGTGCCCAGATGAGAGGATGGAAGAGGCTGGCAAGCCACGAAGCAGAGAGGAGAAGTTGGTTCAATCATTCCATGCCTTCTACCTTCTGATGGCATGCCCTCAATGACAAGGGAACCCCTCTAATTTCACCCTACTCAACACCCACTTGCTACTTGGCAAACAATGGGAGGAGTTTCAGTTAGGTGCCAAGAACCCTACTGGAGGAAGGATCTGCAGGAGGGAGGAATCTGTATGCGAGTGGCAGGGAGGCCGAGGTTTTGTCTGACCACTCCTGGGGCAAGACTCAGGAACTCCCCCGTCCCCAGTACAATCTGCAAAGAAGATGGAAAACATGGCCATATTGCAGAATTATCCAATGAGACAAAGATCTGTGTCCCAGGGGTTGAGCAATGTTGTATGGAATCCAATGTCATTGCCAGGACATGAATGAGGAGCAGACTGAGCTCCCTTCCAACACCAACTTACGGAGCAGACGCCCTTCCTGGCTATGTGAATGCAGTTGTGATATAATGAACAAGACTTCTAGAAAGAATGCTGCTGCTCCTGGGAGACAGATGACCCCAAAGCTCTCAGCAACAGACACAGAATGCCACACTGAACTGCTAAGGGAGGGGGAAAGCAGGAGAGAACAGAAAGCTTGCCTAGGAGGGCTCGTGGGGACCCAGCCTCCCAGCGAGGGGATGTTGGAACTGCAGAAGACTGACATCAACAGGACAGTTTGGCCTCAGGTCCTGCGTGTCCAGGAAACAGCACTGAGCCCGGCAGGGCTGGAGCAGCACAAGAAGGGCAGCAGAGAAGGGACACGAGTGAGGCTGAGGACCTGTGGGGGTCTCTGTGCATTACCTCTGGTGAGACAGGAACCTAGGGGTCAAAAATGCTGAGTCTACTCCCAGAGCAGCACCTGTGTAGGGGACCCTGCTGGCACAGTAACCGGTTCTCACACTCAGCCCCAGTCACACGGAAGGAGCTGGGTGACTACTTTTTGTTGTTGTTGTAGGTGTGGCGGGGGGGGCCTGCTGGGTGTCAGCCCCACCTTGTATATCTTCAGGAATGGAAGGGACAAGCACCACGGGTGGCCCTGAGTGTCCATCCCCTGCAGGTCCACACGGCCCAGTGGACAGTGTGGAACTCTGTGCCCACACATGCAGAAGAGCCTATGGCCCGGGCAGCTGGCCTTGTGGAGTGTGCTCTGTGATGGTTTTGCAATGAGTTTTAATTCCTTAATCCACCCGGAAGGCCCTAGGGTGCCTTTCCTGAGTCCCACGCCACACAGCTGAAGGGAGACAAAGTGTGTCCTGGCTGACCCGAGTCTGTCCAGCACAGAGGTTGTGCTAGACAGGGCGTGGGTGGGGGCGGCTCCTGTACCAGGTGTTCTGTGCCCTAGCCCGGCTCTGCTGGGGATGCTGTGTGGAGGAGGGGTTCAGGCAAGTCCCGAGGCGGCCCTGGGCCTAGGAGTAGAGATGGTGTCTGTTGTGTAAGTGGACGAGACAACATCTGCATACAGAAGTCCTTAGACAACAGAGTCCTACTTGGTCAGAGGTGAGGAGCAGCCTGCCCGGGACCTGCTGCCCGGGGCCAGGGGTGTTCTGTGTAGAGCTGGAGGTGGATGCTTGTTCCCCGCCCTCCATTCTGTATACCCCTCTCTCTCACCCTGCCTGAGTGGCTTCCGGTGACCTCCTGCCCAAGGAAAAACCAATTCCAAATGATACCTGAATTACTGTTGGGGGTTGCACCCACTGGGTGAGGTGTTGAAAATAACGCACTTCTCTCTCTCTCTCCCACTCCCCCCATCTCTCTCTCTCTCTCTCTCTCTCTCTCTCTCTCTCTCTCTGTGTGTGTGTATCTGTCACTCTTTCCACTTTCTGCAGTGAGTATTTTTTGAGAAGTTCAGAATTTGCTCCCTGTCCCATGGTTTCCATTTTGTATGATTGTCACAAACAGCCTTTGTCTTTCCCATGGCCCTAGCGGGATGCATCTCTCAGATGCTTGTTTCTAATTGCTTCTCCCAAATGGCTGTGTCCATTTCCAGCTGCGTTCCGGAGCTTGGGGCGCTGCTTATCCCTCTGAAACCTGCTCATTCCTGACACCTGCCCCCCCCCCCCCCCGAGCCCTGCTGGTCCATCTCGCACCTGCTTTTCATTCTTCCCTCTCCTGGTGGGCATTCCCTTTTGCATTCTTCACAAAAGGCTGAATCAGGATAGTCAGTAGTTCGACATTCCTTCAATGTAAAATTTCCTCTCCCACATTAAACTAAAAAAAAAAAAAAATTTATTGGAAAAGCGGATCAACAGAGAGAAGGAGAGACAGAAAAGTGTTTCCATTGTCTGATTCCCTCTCCAGATTATTGAAATGATCAGAGCTGAGCCGATCTGAAGCCAGGAGTCAGGAGCTTCTTCAGGGTGTCCCATGCGGATGCAGGACTCCAAGGCTTTTGGTCAGCCTCTGCCGCTTTACTAGGGCATAAACAGGGAGCTAGATGGCAAGTTTAGAAGCTGGGACTTGAACCGGTGCCCATTTGGGATGTGAGTGCCACAGGGCTGAGGATTAGCTTGCTGTGCCACCTTATCAGCCCCTTTCCAACATTTTATTGCTCTCCTGGTGAGTGGTGAAGAAGCCACAGGAGGCTCTGGGGGAGGGGATTGGATTCTGGGAAAAGTCTCCGCTCATTCTTCTCTTGCATGTCCAGTCCTTCTGTGTTGTGTAAATTTTTTCTTCTTGCTTTCCAATGTGACACATTTGTTGGAAATGCGTGTTATTAGGTATCCTCTCAATCTCTTAGTGCTGTCCTTGGTTCAAATGTCCTTCATCTGCATGGTGCCCTCTTCCGGTCAGAGCCCTTGGTGCCCTTCGAGTTGTCTGTGCCCAACTCGAGAGGGGTGAAAAGCTTTCCATGCTGCCCACTTGCAGTGGGACTGTTACACCCATCCCATTTGAGCTCTGTGTTTTCATGGCATCACACTGGAAAGTTCACGCCTCCTCAAAGCGCTGCAGGGTCACTGTTTTCATCAGTCTAGGGGCTGCGTCTCTGCGGCTCACATCTGGATCTAGTCTGCCACCCTGGCCTGTCTTTATGCTGGCACCACGATGTCTCACGGCAGCAGCTTCTGATCGTTTTCATCATTATGGTGCTTTCCATTTCTTTGTAAATTTAAAAATCAGCTTGCCAATTTCTGCCCCAAAATGTGGAGGGTGGGGCGCTAGGACTTTGATGAAGAGTGATTCAAGCCAGAGGATTGATTTGTGGGCCCATACCTTGCTGCATGACGCTCTGTGTGATTGGAAAGTTGTCTCCAGAGGCAGGTGCAGTGGAGTCCTCTGACCCTGCTCTGAGCCATGAATGCAGGCAGTGGCTGGGGGAGGGTTTCCCCTGTGACAGAGGCCACCTCACACCTAGAGTGACACGCAAGGGGGATCCCTACAGAGGGGAGCTTTGGGGACAGTGGTCGCACATAGAGGTGGCCAGGTTAACTCCGATGGCCACAGGCAGGGTTGACAATAGGGAACCCCGTGGCCTCAGCATCAGACTTCCCAAGAGAGGTCCCCACTTTGGGGAGGGAGGAAATTTTATGAGGTTGGCAGAAGGCATTGCTGGAGTAAGGAGCCAGGGCACAAGATAGGGTCATGGCTCCCCGGTCAGGGCCACCACCGTTTGCTGCTGCTGGGCAATCAAGGATAGGAGACTCTGCTTGGGCTGTAGGCCTCCCCACCTGAGGGGGACACTGTGAACCCCACAGCCACTCTCCACAGCAGAGTCTGGCTGTT